ACGTTAATACACACAACGCAGATGAAGTTTAAATGCTATTATATGACACAAAACACTACATACAACATGATTTACATATATATATATATGAAATTCTACAGTCTTCAAAATCATTGCTCTCAGAAAGGAGATGGGTGGTCACTCAGGTTCCCCTGAGGTCACTCAGGGGAGGATTAAACACAAAGGGTATGAGGACACAGTTTTGGGCAAGGGGAGGGTGACAGTGTGTATTGGCTGTGGGGGTGGATACTTGACTCAAAAATACAAACACTCAAGTAATTTGTCATCGAACATATTTTATTCACAGAGACATGCTAAGTTGAAAAAAGAGGGGGATAGAAAGCAAACTAAAGTCACATTCAGAAAAATAAAACACGACATATTCCTTGCTAGCAGTCCTTCACCTCAAGTAATTTCCAATGAAGTCCTTCAGTTTGAAACAATTATCAGGTGTAACTCGTTTACACAGAAGAGGTCACTAGCAGGAGAAACATTACATATTTGATTATTAAGTAACATAATTTTACAGTGTTTTCCTACTGACCTTTTCTGGATATTATTGCTTTGAGTATCTGAGGTTAGAAAGCCTTTAATTTTACATCCTGACAGGTGACCACTGTCCTCCAGATCCGGGGACCCTGGCATCTGCTGAACACACAGACTCACTCACAGCTCAAGCTCTGCGTGCAAAAGAGAAAGAGCACAGAGAGAGATGGGGGACCCACCTCAGCAGGTCCCTCCTCTCCCACCCTTCCTCCACACACCAGGGGCTTTACTTCCCCTGGACCGCAGGACATCAGGAAGTCTACATGAGACACAAATGGGAAGCAGTTATGAGACCCACAAAGCCAGTGCTCAAAGTCACAGACAGGAAGTCCTTCCTGGAGTCTGCCCACCCTCATTCCTGTTGCAACCTCAGTGTATTCACTTTAGAGTCCAGGCTGTGCAGACAGTGGTCCTGGGACTCTCTTCCTCCCAATAACCTCAGGCTTCTGACCTCTTCCTTCAGGGCTGAGCTCTAATGTCTCCTCCCAGTACAGTCTACACTGAGGACAATCACAAAAAATCACAACTCCGCCCTACTCTTTCCCCTTGTTCCTTTTCTCTAAATCACTCTGCTCTCTGACCTCCTGTGTGTCACATCAGTCACTTTGCTATTTATCCTTTCTGTTTCCTTCTGAAAGTGAATTCTGTGAGGGCAGCGATTTTTCCTGGTTTGGATTTGTTGTGTCGCAGGTGCCTGGAATAGAGCCAGGCACATGACAGACACTCACACACTTGTTGAAGAGTGAATAAATTCAAGGACCAGACCTCCTAAGAGCACAGTCTTGGACAGGAAAGGTAAGTTGTTTCCTGGATGTGACTGGAGTTCTCTCTGTGCATGTTTGGTTGGGGGGGGGTGCCTACTACCTTATCTCAGGCCAGAAGCCCCTCCCTCAGCCTCTCAGGGACCTCACACTCTGCACAGGGCACGAAGCCTATGGCCTAGAGGTGCCATCTGACCAGCTGCCTCCACAGCCTCCTGGACTCAGGAGGAATCAGATGCTGGATACTGAGGGGCTATAATCCTGTTATTACCAAACTTAGCTCCAGAATTTGCTGCTGCCTGATCTGATGGCAGCCAGCGGACATCTGTTTGTATCCAGGACACAACCAGAGAACCAGGCCACACTCAGCCACCAAGATAAGATGAAAAGCACAGGACGATTGATTTGGGGAACAGAGGTGGAAAGTAGGTGAGGCCTGAGTAACATAGACCACAGGCCTTTATCTGTTGAAGTCACAAAGGGAAAAGAAGAGGCAGGGCACCCCTGTCCTAGACTCTCAGGGCTGTGGAGGGGCAGCCCTCCTTGCTCCAAGAGGGAGGGTGATCTGATGACCTGGGGAGGGTCCACCCTTGGCATCCAGAGGAATGGTGCTTGGGTACCTGGGAATTGGAGGTGTGCAGGGTGGAGAGGACCATCCTCGGCATCAGGGAGGTGCTGGGAAGATGTCTGAGGTTGCATTTAACACAAATCTGATTATAGCACAGTACTGTCTTCAGCTCCTGCCACTTCTCTCCACCCTCTGGGGACAGTGTCTACCTGGACACCTGGAGTGCAGACAACTCCCAGCTCAATTCCTGGGATACTGCAGCAGCTCCTCTGACCTGAGACCAGGGATTTCCACAGCTGGTTCAAACTGCCTGGGTCTGTCACTAGAAAGGCCTATGACCTTGTAGCACACTGAGTGGGACCTGGGGAACTCTGGAGTCAAGGACCAGGGCTAGGCACTTCACCCTGGGGTGCAGGCCTTGCTCTCCCCTCCCTTCTTTGATTCTCCTGCCACCCCAGCACTAGGGGCCCTGGCTCTGGAAGAGGGGAGCCCTCAGTCATTTCCCCTCTCTCATCTGCTTCTTCCCATTTCTCCCATGTGTGTGATCACTGTACCTGTGGGTACAGAAAACTGTCTCAACGCACTGCAGCCTCCTGCTGAATGACAGAGCTAGCACCTGCGTAACTCCCATCCTGCTAAAGCCAGGGACCCTTCCAGCAGCCCTGCCAGAAGCTCCTGAGCCCCTCCCTAAGCAGATCCCATTGCTCCCACACAGGTGTCCTCTATGCTGACCTTCCCGTGTCCCTTTCCCATCACTCCTTCCCCTCCATTCCTATGGCCTCCATTCCTTAAGTAAGGCTGTCTGTCAGGATGGGGTCCCTCGCAGACAGGAGATGGTCACCCCTTCACATGGGTCTTCCCAGCCTGTAGTAAAAATGAATTTCTCTTGTTTGTAAGTCACCCAGTCCATGGAGTTTCTGTTACATGGACCTCATGGACTGAGATAGCTGCTATGGAGTCTCTGGACTGATTTGAAATGAAAGGCCAAGGTTTTTCTCATCAGATTGAGTCAGATTCCTGCCTGGCATATAGAGATCTAGAGCCAAAACACGGAATGAGTGAATTTGTATCTGATGCCTCAGACACACGCTGTTCCCAACTCAAAGGGGAAACTTGTGTCTCTCCAGCTCTGTCCCCAGACTAAGGAAACTCTCTGACATCCAATGTCCAGGGGTGCAACTCTTCTAGAAGATCCGGGGGCAGTGCTTTATCTGAGCTTTAGGAGGCAAGGAGGCAGTGCAGGGAGAGAAGTTCTGGAAATGAAGAATAGACACAGAGGATGGGGTTAGGGGAACTCCCCACCAAATGATTACTCAGAACACCAGTTCCCAAAGTGAGGTCTGTGGAACCCTTGGAGGGCTCAACCCTTTCATAGGACCCCCAAAATCAGAACTCTTTTTATATCTGTAAGACTTTATTTGCTACACTGCTGGTGGGAATGCAAACTAGTACAACCACTATGGAAAAAAATTTGGAGGCTTCTTAAAAATCTAAACATTGATCTACCATATGATCCAGCAATACCACTCTTGGGGATACATCCAAAACAATGTAACACAGGCTACTCCAGAGGCACCTGCACACCCGTGTTTATTGCAACACTATTCACAACAGCCAAATTATGGAAACAGGCAAGATGCCCCACTACTGACGAATGGATTAAGAAAATGTGGTATTTATACATAATGGAATACTACTCAGCCATGAAGAAGAATGAAATCTTACCATTTGCAGGTAAATGGATGGAACTGGAGAACCTCATCCTGAGCGAGGTTAGCCAGGCCCAGAAGACCAAAAATCGTATGTTCTTCCTCATATGCGGACATTAGATCAAGGGCAAACACAACAAGGGGATTGGACTTTGATCACATGATAAAGTGAGAGCACACAAGGGAGGGGTGAGGATAGGTAGGACACCCAAAAAACTAGATAGCATTTGTTGCCCTCAATGCAGAGAAACTAAAGCAGATAGTTTAAAGCAACTGAGGCCAATAGGAGAAGGGGACCAGGAACTAGAGAAAAGGTTAGTTCGAGAAGAATTAATTTAGAATGTAACACATATATGTGTACAGGAAAGCGAGGAATCTCCATGTATAGCTGTCCTTATCTCAACTAGCAAAAACCCTCGATCCTACTTATTAATATTTATACTCTGTCTTCAACAAAATTAGTGATAAGGGCAGAACAGTTTCTGCCTGGAAGTGAGCGGGTAGGGGGAGAAATGACCCAAACATTGTATGCACATATGAATAAAAGAAATTTTTAAAAAAGACTTTATTTGCACTAAAACAAAGCTTGGCAACAATGGAAACTCTGGAGCCAAACTGCAAGAGAGTTATTCTAATCTTCACCTCCCCCTCCTCATTTCAGAAGACAAAAAATAAGCTACTTCCACTTACAGATGTCCTGGAGAAGTATTAAAAATGATTAACTTGATTACATCTCAGTCCAGAGTCATCACTATAAAAGTATATTATCTGATTAAATAGAAAATACAGAAACAGCACTTGTACTGCAAAGTAGGAGGCTTGTGTCTTTTGTTATTGTTCTGTTTTGTTTTGTTGCTGTTTTGTGTGTGTGTGTGTGTGTGTGTGTGTGTGTGTTTCTGGGTTTGAATTCTGGGCCTCCACTTGGCATCTTCCACTGGAGTCATGGCCCAAGTCCCTTTTTGCTTCAGGTAGGCTTTAGCATTAGTGGTCCAGGGCCGAGCGAAGACAGCCTCAGGCTGCGATCCTCCCATCAGTGGCCTGCCTGTAGCTGGGATTATAGAATGTTCCACCACACTCAGCTGGTTAATTGAGATGGGGTCTCTAAATTTTTTTTGCTCAGGGTGGCCTCCAACCTTGACACAGCGTTTGCTGTGGGGCAGGACTGGGTCAAGGTAAAGGAGCAGGTTTTCAAGCTTAGATCTCAGGTCTCAGGCTCTAGCGTCTGGTCTGGTGTGGGGAAGGCAAGTATTGGGAGGGAGTTCCCCATCTCTCCAGAGTTTCACTTCTTTCTCTCCCAACCCGTGTCAGGTCCTTCTGCCTGGACACTCATGACCTGGCCCAGTTCTCACTCCCATTGGGTGTCGCGTTCCCGCGGAGCCAATCAGCGTCTCCGCGGTTCTGGGTTATAAGGTCCCCACGGAGCTGCCCGCTCTCAGATCGTCCCAGACCCTGAGGATGGGGGTCATGGCGCCCCGAACCCTTCTCCTGCTGCTCTCGGCGGCCCTGGCCCTGACCGAGACCTGGGCGGGTGAGTGCGGGGTCGGGAGGGAAACGACTCCTGCCAGGAAGGAGCGAAGGGACCGCGGGCGGGAGCTCAGGACCTGGGGAGCCGCGTCTCCGCCCCGCGGCCCCGACCTCCCCGTCCCCACCCGGGCGCTGCCGCTCCCCCCCCACACCCCCTTCCCCCGATGTCCCTTTGGGGTCTCAGGAGCCCGTGTCCCCTCCTCCCCTCCGGCCCATCATCCTGGGACCCGGGTTCCGCGGCAGGAGGGTCGCGGAGTCTCAGCCGCCCCCCGTCCCCAGGCTCGCACTCCCTGATGTATTTCTCCACCTCCGTGTCCCGGCCCGGCCGCGGGGAGCCCCGATACATAGCTGTCGGCTACGTGGACGACACGCAGTTCGTGCGCTTCGACAGCGACGCCGCGGACCCGAGGATGGAGCCGCGGGCGCCGTGGGTGGAGCGGGAGGGGCCGGAGTACTGGGAGCAGCAGACGCGGATCGAGAAGGGCAATGCACAGACTTCCCGAGTGAACCTGCGGACCGCTCTCCGCTACTACAACCAGAGCGAGGACGGTGAGTGACCCCGCGCCGGGTCAAGGTCACGACCCCTCCACGTCCCCATGACGGCCCGAGGTGTCCCGGGGCTGCAGATCCGAGGGTCACCCGACATTGCGGGATCCGCGGAGACTTTGACCCGGGAAGAGCGGCGGGGACTCGGACCGGTTTCATTTTCAGTTTAGGTGGAAATCCCCGCGGGTCGGGGCGGGCGGGCGCGGGGCTGACGGTGGGGGCGGGGCCAGGTTCTCACACCATCCAGTGGATGTATGGCTGCGACATGGGGTCGGACGGGGGCCTCCTCCGCGGGTACGAGCAGTTCGCCTACGACGGCCATGACTACATCTCCCTAAACGAGGACCTGCGCTCCTGGACCGCGGCGGACACCGCCGCTCGCATCACCCAGCAAAAGTGGGAGGCGGCTGGTGCGGCGGAGCAACACAGGACCTACCTGGAGGGGGAGTGCGTGCAGTGGCTCCGCAAATACCTGGAGCACGGGAAGGAGACGCTGCTGCGCACAGGTACCCGGGGCCAGAGACCCCTCCCGATCTCCTGTAGATCTCCCCGCCCGCTCCCACAAGGCGTGAAGGAAAAGGGGGCCCACCCAGGACACCGCCCTCCCTCTGCTCCAGAGGGGTGAGCGCCTGGCTTTCCAGATCCTGCACCAAAGAGCGACTCTGAGGTGCTCTTCCCTCTGACAGTTAAGGAAACAGTTTCTCTCCAGACGTGAAGGGGACTACAGGTCATTTTTCTGGCAGCAGCCTTGGGCATCACAGGGACACTGTCTCAGGCCTTGCTCTCTGCTCCAAATCAGAGCCTTTGGAGGTCTGACTCCAGCTTCTGCGAGTCTTACTCCACGAAGGTCAGGACTCCCAAATTTCTCTCAAGAGACCTGAGCCTTTTACACTGAGCTGTCTCAGCAGGGTTCTAGAATTTTCCAAAAAATAACTATTATCCCAGAAACCTGAGTCAAGCTGGTGTCCGGATTTTGTAATCCCTTCCCCACCCCAAATGTCTTGTCCTTTCTCAGGAAAGTCACAACAATGTTACTTCAGTGGCCCATAGAAGGTAGTGCAAAATGTCTGAATTTCCTCAATCTCCCCCTCAGCCCCACCAGAGACACATGTGAGCCACCACCCCATCTCTGATAAGAAGGTCACGCTGAGGTGCTGGGCCCTGGGCTTCTACCCTGAGGAGATCACCCTGACCTGGCAGCAGGATGGGGAGGACCTGAGCCAGGACATGGAGCTTGTGGAGACCAGGCCTGCAGGGGATGGAACCTTCCAGAAGTGGGCAGCTGTGGTGGTGCCTTCTGGGAAGGAGAGGAATTACACGTGCCATGTGCAGCATGAGGGCCTTCCTGAGCCCCTCACCCTGAGATGGGGTAAGGAGGGGACGTGGACACAGAGCGTCTTGTCAGGGAAAATAGGACCTGATCTGTAGACCCTCAGCGGCAGGCTGAGATCTGGGGGTCAAGTTCTCTAAACTTCCCTTCTCTTCCTTTTCCTTCCCAGAGCCACCTCCTCAGCCCACCATCCCCATCATGGGAATTGTCATTGCCCTGGTTATCCTTGGAGTTGTGGTCACTGGAGCCCCCGTGGTGGCTGTTGTGTGGAAAAGGATGCACACAGGTTAGGAGGGGCAGGTGTGAGTTGTCCCACTAGGGGTTTCAAGCCCCAGGTAGAAATGTGTCTAACTCCTTAATGGGAAGTGGCACGTGACAAGCACTTTGCCCCAGCCTGGGGTCCTTTTTGCTGGCACCTATTCTTTTGTAAATCACCTGGGAATGTGGATAAATTTACCCTGTTGATGGTGCTTGATTCCCAGCAGTCAGAGGGGAAGGTCCCACTAAGGACAGGCCTCCAGAAAGGCAGTTGGTCCTCATGCCTAGTGGTCCTACCATGGGTCTACAGTCAGTCTGGAAATTTCCCTAGGGTCCAAGACTAGTGGTTCCTCTAGGCCCTCATGGCCCTGCCTTCTCCCTGTCCCCTCACAGGTTGTTTTCTTTCCACAGGTGAAAAAAGAGGCAGCTATGCTCAGGCTGCAAGTAAGTATTGCAGGGAATCTCTGAGCCCCTTGTAGAATTGTACACAGGAACCAATGGGTTTCCTCACCCACCCCATAATTCCTCCTTTAGCCACATCTCCTTTGGGCTCTGACCAGATGTTTTGTTCTTTCCTAGGAGGGGACAGTTCCCAGGGCTCTGATTCTTCTCTCACAGCTTGAAAAGGTGACACCTCGAGGGTCAAGTTGGCACTAGAGGTGAGGCAAAGGACAGACTCCTGGGTTATGGGGACTGTGGATTGGGACTTTTTGTGTGTGTGATGGGCTGCTCAGAGTGTCACCATTTTCCATGCCCGTCTGAATTTGTCATGATCATTTCTGTTACAGTGTGGGACAGCTGCCTTATGAGGACTGAGCCACACAGGATCTGTGCAGGCCTCTCCCCGTTCTTCCTCCTGTGAGGTTGCAGTGGGCTGAGATTCTCACTTCCCTGTTGAAAATAAGAATGTGGATATGGATTTGATCAAATTCTTGCCATGAGATGAAGTTGCTGAGCTAATTAAATCAAAGGAAGATTAATAAAACTTTGAGAGAAAATAGAACTTGACAAGCTTCCAGAGTCCTTTTGTTTGCTACACTGTGTCTGTTACAGGTGGACACAGGAGAAGGCCAGGAGAAGCCACGAGTGCACAACTGGGGCTCAGTCCACCCTGGGCTTTGATGTGGTCACTGCTCAGCTGAGTCATCTCCCTGCTTCTTAGTCCCTGTCCTTCAGTAGAGCCTTGTCCCATCATGATCTGCGACCACAGGGACTCAGACCTTGCCATGGTCTTTTCTTATCTCCCAAGCCACCAGCCACCAGGGCTTCACATGGGGGTCAGCCCAGACTTAGGTCTTAGTCCAAATGCAGGTGCCACTATTTTTTTGTTTCATGTTTTTATAGAGAATTATGTCTGTTTCAGTGATTGTGTATGTGTTTTGGTGTCACTGTCCTCTGAGTGTCCCCATCTCTGAGCAGCAGGAGGTGATTGTCTTGTCATTGTCCTACAGGACATGGAGTGTCCTTCTAAGGGGAGTCTCTGTGTATCAGGAAATGACTTTTCAGACCTGTCCATCTCTTTCCTAGCCCTGTTCCCTGGATTGTGGTTTCTCTCCTTTTTTCCCAAGATTTTGAAAGGAACAAGAGTGTGGGCATAGCAGGGAGAAGGATCTCATGGTGACACTCCTTTTTTGAGGCTCAGCTTTCTCTCCTGAAGGAACAGTTCCCCTCTGCACCTTTCAAAGTTGCCTTGAGTTTTCAAGGTGTTCTTGTACACTTAGGATCCTATGTGAATTTAAGTTGTTCTAATAGTGTTCATTAATGACAGACAAAGACCTGCCATTGGACAAGGAAGACAGGGACAGATGGCTGAAGTGATTTTCCTCAAGTCCAACCAGGGGAAGGACCTTGGTGTTTTCCTGTGTCCAGTCTGTTATTTGAGGGTGTCACACTTAGTCACACAGGAAGTGGTGCTGGGATAGGCAAGCCCTCTCCTACTTGCTATTTGGATGGTTTACCAATCGAGCTTCATAACCCCAGCCCATTTTGATTTTTTTTTCCTTTTTTCAATTTTTTTGGGTTGTACTGGGATTTGAACTCAGGGCCGATGCAGGTGCTTCTGCCACTTAGACACCCCTCAGCTCTTTTCTATGATGGTTTTCTTTTTTCAAGCTAGAGTCTCACAAACTATCTGCCCGGGGCTGGCTTCCAACCATGATCCACCTGATTTCTGCCTCGTGAGGAGCTAGGATTACAGCAGGAGACACCAGCACCCTGCAGCTCTGATTATTTTTGAGATAGCATCATGCTTTATACTGAACTTGCTGGACTGTAATCCTCCTGTTTACACTTCATGCATAGCCAGGAGGAGAGGCATGCACTACAACATCTTATGTTTATTGGTTGAGATGGGATCTCCCTAACTTTTTGCCTGCACTGTCATTAAACTGCAATCTGATCTCCACCTTCCACGTTGCTAGGATGTCCAGCTGAATGCTGTGAAATACAGGATATTTCAATGTTTGTGACAGTCTCAATTTAATTATTCAGCTTCGACCTCAATAGACTACATCCAAAAGCAAGCAGAAGGAAGGCAAGAAAGACAAATAGCACTGAAATGGAAGACAATTTAAAAACTGATGAACCCAAAAATCGAATTGCACTTTCTATGAAACAGTATCTTCTACACCTCATTAAGAAAGAAAAAAAAAATGACACAAATTACCAGTATTTGGAGTGAAACAAAGGATATCAGTACAGATTCTTCAGACATTAGAATGATAATATGAGAACACTAGTAATAAATTCCTGACAAAAAAAATACGACAACTTGGATGAAACTAGAAATTCTTGAAAAACACATATTACCAAAACTGCTCCAAGAGAAAATGGAAAATGTGATCAGCCCTAGATCAATTGTAGACACTATGATTAAAAAAGTGTTCACAGAGAAAATTTCAGACTCAGAGGCTTCTTTGGTGAAATATGTTGGACATATTAAAATAATATTGATGACACAAACTCTTTTAGAAATAAAAACATTGAACAATATTCAATTCATTTTATAAGGTCAATGTTACCTTGATTCCGAAACTGGGCGAAGACATCACAAGAAAAAAGCCCAAATCCATCATGAGCCTAGACTTAAAAACCTACACAAGGTGAATGTGAAAGTTCCTACCTCTAATCTCAGCTACTCTGGAGGTAAGGCAGAGGAAGGATTGAAAGTGTGAGGCAATGCTGGGCAAAGACAGGGTGACTTTATCACAAAACAAGAACAAGGAAAGGACCAGGATGTAGGTAAAATGGTAGAGCACTTGCCACCGTGCTTGAGACCCTGGGTTCAATCCCAGTATCAGAACAAGCAAATTAAAGAAAATTTATACAAAATGTTACTACATCAATTACAAAAATACATAAAAAGTGACATAATTGGGCTGAGGGCATAGGTAAAGTGGTAGAGCACCTGCCCTGCAAGTGTGAGGTCCTGAGTTCAGGGCACTAAAAAACATCTACACTGGTTTTATTGCATCGTGAGAAATCAAGGTTGGTTTGCCATCTGTAAAACAGAACACACAATTCACCAAATGAAAGTCAAAAGCCACTGGTTCATTACAAGGGATGCAGAAAAGGCATTTGTCCAAATTCAGCATCATTTAGTTGTTAAATCTGCCACACAGTCGGCATTGACAGGAACATCCTCACCATGGTTAGGGACAGAGACTGAAAGCCCACTGCTGCAGGAAAATGGATGGAACTGGAGACCATCACAGTAAGTGAGAGAAGCCAAGCTCAGAAAGACAAATGTCACATGTGTTTGCTCATATATAGCATCTAGACGTAAAAAGAACGACATGAGTGTGAGGGGGGACCGTGTGGGGAGGGGGTGACCAGCGGGTGAAGGTGAGGGTGAGAGGAGAGGCAGGTGGAGGTGAATATGATCAAAGTGCTTTATATGCATTATGAAAATAGAGTGATGAAACCTATTAAATTTTCTATAAAAAGGGAAATGGGGAGAGTAAGGGAGAGAATTTGATGAAATTACATTATATGCATCTATGGAAAAATCACAATAAACCCCTTTATACAATTAATATGTGCTAATAAAAATAAAAATTTAATGCTTACTGTTAAAATCTGTCTCAGTGATAAAACTTCCCCTTTTATTTACAGTTCTTTTCTTCACAACTTAGCTAGCATTAATTGAATTTCTTGTTTGATTGTGTCTAATAAGAGGAGAGTGTCTGGGTAAGGGATGGGAGTCTGTTTGGTGAGTGTGGTCTCAATTACTCTTTGGATGAGCCCTCTCATGGATGGAATGATACAGCCCCTACTGTTGTCATTAATCCTAACACGATTATCAGGGAAGTGACAATGAATGCCATCATACCATTCCATTTTCCAAACCACTGTTTCAAGCTATGAAATGGGTCATCTACTCCAGGATTTTCTGTGAGTTCATTGGCAAGAGTAGTTAATCCTTGTAAAGCCTTTGTAATTGTGCAATCAGGGGTGGTATTACTGCAGATGAAAGTACAACATTGACCTCCTATCATTTCAGAAACTGCTCTCTTTTCTGCTAACATCATGTCTAGGGCCTATCTGTGGCATCTAATTGCTCTGCTGTTCCCTTATGGCATCTCTAGTGTAGTTGACAAATCTCTGTTGGCTATGATAGATATAATTAATCCTATCTACATTTTTATTGACTGTGGGCCACCAGAATAGTACTGACTTGAAGCCTACTGCTATTTGATTTCTAGTCTTGAATTCTTTGGGGATTTCTTGGGGGACTCCAATGGCATCTGTATAAACATGTGGGTCAAAAAAAACCCTAGAGTCATCCCATCTGTATTTCTGATTTTAGAGGGGCTCACCCTCTCAAAGGACTAGGTGCGTAGCAGTCAGCAGTCTATCCCTGAGGTTGGGTGGTCCACCAAACATCATCCCTGTCCAGACAAGGGTCTCACCCATTAGTACAGGTCTCCCCTTCTGGACACAAATATTTATGCTCCTGGGATAATTGCCTTTGATAACTTAAATCCCCACATGGTAGGGTGGGACACGCATCCTCCCTAGAGAATAAGACGCTCAGAATGGACATAGTTCAGCACATGTATGAACCTCTGAGAGGCCAAGGAATTGATCAACATCTGCCGCCCCACATGGATCTTCTAGCAGAGACCGCCATTCTCTTTTTAAATTTCTTACCTCTGAGCTAGTCAGAGAGGCATTAAGATATCCAATTCCCCTACCCCCTAAGGGAACCTCTCTCAGAGGGTGTAGACTCTGAGATCAGTTTTCACTGGGGGGAATGTGAAAGTTTTGGATATCCTGTTTACATTGCTCTAATTCTGTTCTCAGTTCAGAGAAGGAAATGCCTGGTAAGGGAGGGGCCAAGGCTGCAGCTGCTCCACAAAGGCCCTTGTTTTCTTTCTCTTTTCCTTCCCTGGTGAACTCATCTGTGGGCTCCCTATCTTCATAGATGGAGAAGCTTCAGGGGCAGAGCCCTTGGGTCCATAATGGTTAGGAAGGCAAATCAAGGGCTCCCATTTGCTTTCTTTCTCCTCTGATTTAAGGTTTTTAGTCTTAGGCATTTTAAGTGGGAACAAAGTCATAAGTCCCCTACACCAGCAGAGGGTATAATCTATTTCTTCCTGGCTTTTTGGGCATTTATCATTTACATATTCTGTGATTACTTGGCAAATCCAGTCTTCATCAGAGCCAAATTTAGGCCAGAAAAAAAGTCAGTCTTAAGATTGCCTCCTGTGTCCACATGAAAGAAGAATATTTCATCATTTTTTGTTTCTCTTCATCCTTTGTCCTAGGATTTTCTACCCAATAAGGTAACATGAGACCGTGAGGGCTATCTGGAGGAACAGAAGACGAGTCTAGTTTCTTGGGGGCCTTTCCTAAAGCAGACTTTTTATAATCCCCGGGAGAATATTTGACCCCTGTATTGGATGTTTCTTATATTCTACCCAAAGAGCTTCCTCCTTCTTTCACTAGCTCCCTCCTGGGGTACTGGGGTTAGGAATTGTCATTGGCACTTGCTTTGTGTCT